CTGCAAGTGACGTTCCGACGCCATCTTGCCAGTCAACACACGTCTGTAACAGAAAATGGCGGGAGTCGTTTGTGATCGATCTGCTGTGTTGACGATGCCAGGCACGACACACACAACAACTTAACCGATGTAGCTGCTAATTCGAGCTGTGGTAATACTAGGAGATAAAGAGAAAGGCTCACTGCCGTAAAGGACCGATCATTTGATATTCTGGAGAGGGGAGGGGGGACTGGGAATTTATCGAAAAAAAGAAATTGTCCCAGAAAATGCTTTAAAAAAATAATGATGCTTTAGACAGCTGAAAAAATAAATTGTCTGCCACAAACATACATTGTTGCAAGAGGTTGTTTTTTTTTTTAAATAATTTGTCTCATAGTTTTAAAGTTTGAATTTTAAAAATATATACCTCCACTTTAGTGCCCCGATTATGAAATGGACGGTCCCTTGCTTTCGAGAGAGGTATTACAGCACCAAATCAAAAATACCTATTGACGACAATGTTTACGACGTAATAAGAAAAAGTCGTGGGAGATAGGTCTGGCTGGGGATGGAAATGAAGGGATCATTATTTCCTGGTGATTCAAGAACACTTCAAGGAGCATTTTCTTGTTATACGTTGAACAATTTTGACAAATATAATCCCTTTGTCCCTTGGCACGTCTTGCACGGGGATGAGCGACAGGACAGAGTTGTTAGGTTCAGGTTATCATAGTTTAAACCTGTTCGGCGTTTATTTGCTATATTCATTGGTAACCGTGATTATCTTGACGGAACAATTCTTCTAAAACGCCTTGTGGAGATGGAGTTTGGGGTCGATCCATCCATTGAGGATTAACCAGCTCCCCCCCCCCCCCCCCCCCCCCCCCCCCAACACACACACACGGCTCCCCTCACTCCGGCCACTGGAGGTTGGAGGTTGAGATAAACAAGTCGATTTGGAAATTTCTCTTGTTACGAACTACAGATAACTCGAAATATTATCAACGGTTCCTTTTCTTCGCGATAACGATTGGAATTAGGGGCAGTGAGGTAGTTTACTGCTTAAAGCCCTCGCCCACCACGCTGAAGGCCCGGGTTCGATTGTCCACATAGGTACAATGTGTGAAGCCCATCCTGATATTGCTGTAATATTCCTAAACACAGCGCTCAACCACACTCACTCACTGTATTTAAATTAACCTGTATATAGTGCACTCTTTCTTTATGTGAACACGTGATGGAATGCATGGAACTTCTCGTCTGACCCACTGTCTGTTCAACACACGTAACTGACCCACCAAGGTCGGTGAGTGTTATAGAACTAGACACCTGACCCCCTCTGTGGTAAGATAAAAAAATATAGGTTAAGCATGCGACTGTCTGTACCTGAGTATTTTAGTGTCGGGCATGTGGTGGGTAGTTTTTGTGAGGGACCAGTTCAAAGGTTCGTTGTCGGATAAATTATTTTGGGTGTTCCGTGTTCCAAGTCAATGAAAAACAGCCCAAATCGTTGCATTTGTAGCCTGTAAACGACCGGAGTTTACATTGTAGGTATAAAAATACGTCAACCATACATATTTGAAAAAAACTTACCAGCTTCATGAATCATTGCAAGAATTTCTTTCAAGATGCTGAAAGTTTCACAAAAAATGTGTTTGTTTTTTGTTTCAGTGTGTTTGTTTTGTCTGTTTGTATTTGTTTTGTTTTCGTTTTTGTTGTTTTGTTTTGTTTAGGGTGTTTTTGATGGTTTTGGAGATGTTAGGGTTTGGGGGATCTTTTTGGGTTTTTGTTTTCGTGTTGTTATTGTACTTTTGGGGGCGGGGTAATTTCTGCTCGTCCATGAAATAAGAGATTTTATTGTCCTGTTCATAAAGGGATTTGCAACTACATGTAAACATGAAAATAAGTTTGTTTGTTGTTGTTTTGTTTTTTATTTTTGGGGATGGGGGTTGGAGGACGGGTTTGTTTTGTTTCTCCATTTCATGAAAAACTAGTTACAACGGTAATGTTAACATTGGTCTTCAGGAATATGCAGCTGGCAGGTGGCGCCGGCATCTCCTCGTGGAGCCTTGTTCTGGCGCTGTGTGTATTTGACGCCGGGTAATCAGCTGGCAATGTAAGGCGGGAGTTCCTTACACAGAGGTATGGTTCCGACATATTCCATTAAATCTTGCCCCAACCCTTCCCACGTCAAACCAGGAATAAATCAATACATACATAACGTCAACGTCAGAGAAGAATCAGTCTCGATTAGTATATTCCATTTGGCTTTAAAAGCAACACAGTAGTGAAAAATACTTCAATGGATCACTGAAAAGCAGTGTTCTACCGGTGTGCTACCGGTGTGCACACGCCTATTCTACCCTAGAATCCCAAGGGGGTCGCCTCTCACAACCAGCGTTAGCTGCTTGGGACCTATTCTTACCTAGTATTCCATGGAGTTCGCCTATCACAACCAGCGTTAGCTGCTGAGTACCTATTCTAACCTAGAATCCCAAGGGGTTCGCCTCTCACAACCAGCGTTAGCTGCTGGGGACCTATTCTAACCTAGAACCCCATGGAGTTCGCCTCTCACAACCAGCATAAGTTGCTAGGGGGCTATTCTAACCTAGAACCCCATGGAGTTCGCCTCTCACAACCAGCATAAGTTGCTAGGGGGCTATTCTAACCTGGAATTCCTAGGGGTGGGCATGTACATAGAAAACGTCATCTCCGGAGAAAAAACACTCTCGATTATCCGCTGAAAGGCAAACTAGCGGTGAAAGTTATATGTATGGATCACTGAAAATCAGTGATCACTCCAGATGTCCACGAAAAGGGTATGCATGTCCTGCCCTAGATAAAGTGTATCGATGGTCTAACATGTACCGATTGAATGTAAGGTTAGAACAGATCTATGGATACGGATGTAATCTAAATGATGTTAAACTCTTGAGTCATTGGGTTCAATGTGAACAGACGCGGCGCCAACCTCTAACTTCTGATCTAATGCAATTCTACCTGCTGCGGAGCTTTGATATGCCACGCACTTGCATCCATTCATCTGAATGTCACAGAAATACAATAACGTTTCATTCCTCAAACATGTCCTGCACCATGTGAACCCATCTTCCCGCGGCAAAGGTGTTAACTGACTTTATAAAGTCTGAACCCCTTTTAAACGAGTGAACGTATTTTGTTGAATTTCAAATTGCAAAACACGTATCTGATTTTCAGTTTCAGTTTCCGACATTCAGACCGACTAATGAGAGCTGTCTGCTGTAAAATACACGGTTGTCGGCGATTCACTGTGTTCTGTGTCATGTGAACAGTGCTTATAGTTCTGCAAAGTCCTACCTCGTGTATTTATACGAATAAATGACAACTTCCCCCTTTCCAGTTCATCATTAGGAGCGAAGGCCTGCATCAATTACTGAACCATTTAGGTCCGTGACCAGAGCAACGGTTGCATCGTAACTCACACTCCAATGGAAAATTGTCCAACTGACAGTTCGCTTTTTAGTACAGTAAACTACGGTTATAACGAACTAAAAGGGACTACTCTTTTTTAGTTCGTTATAACCGTAGTTCGTTATAAGCATATATACAGCATAATTACAGCAAATAGTCGGGACTAAAAAGTGAGTTCGTTATATCAGTCAGTTCGTTATAAGCATGTTCGTTATAACCGTAGTTTACTGTATTCTTGTTCCCCAGCCAGATATCATCACTTCATACCACTATCGTAAGTATCTGTTTTGTTTGTATGTTTGTTTAACGCCGCACCCAGCTGTATCATATATGCTGGCTATTTGAAATAACGTGGACCTGACAAACCAGTGATTGATATGACGAGCAACATCTCACTCAGTCACTGGATTGTCTGGTCCAGACTCGATTATTTTCAGACCGCCACCATATAGCTGGAATATTGCTGAGTGCGGCATTAAACAACATACAAACAAACAAACAAAAACTCACTCCTTCGGGGACCGATGCCATCCGGTAAACCAAGTCACCAAGCCTGACCACCGGATCCATTAAGTCTCCTCTTATGACCAGCACATATCGTTCCATCTGCCCGAGGCAAGTCCACTTTTAGAGTCAGTTAACTCCCTTGCCTCGGGAGGATGATGTCGTTTAGGGAGAGCATCACCCCCGAAACACGAATGACATGTTCTAGAAAATGATCTACCCGAACCAGCGACGTGTCCGAGAGAGTGAGTATTGTTTAACGCCGTTTTTATCAATATTCCAGCAAGATCAGGTTGGGGGAACACCAGAAATCGGCTCCACACATTGTACCCATGTGGGGAATTGAACCCGGGTCTTCGGCGTGACGAGCGAACACTTTAACTACTAGGCTACCCCACCGGCCCTGCCCGAGAGAGTGCAATCTCATTAAAATCAGATCTTCTCGCTGCAGGTAAATAAGATCTAAATTTAGCGGAAGCGATAACTAAGATCTGATTTTAATGAGATTGGAGAGATAGTGTCTCCAAACACCAAAAACGTTAAATCTGTTGTTTAACGCCGTAAACAATTGAGTCTGAACCACCACACATTCCAGTGATTGACATCATGAGCATCGATCTACGCATTTTGGATACGATGTTACGTATCAACCAAGTCAGCGAGCCTGACCACCCGATCCCGTTAGTCGCCTCTTACGACAAGCATGGTTACGGTTTCAGGGTAAGGTGAGGTGAGGGTGGGGAGTGGGGTGTGTCACGTTAGGAGCGATGATCTCCAAACACCATGACAGTTTCGTGGAAGGGGATTCGAAGACAATGACAGGTTCAGGGGGAAGGGGGTTCGCCCAAAATGGATTGTACATTCGGGGATAGGGTCTTCAAACAAGATACACAAGTTAGGGTGGGTCATGACAACAGCAGGTATTTTGTTGTAAAATAGATACTATCTAGCTGGTATCTAGGTGTGGCAGCCTCTGACCTCAGTGACGGCAGCCGCGAACTTAAATGTACTAGAGTCAAAGTATGCAATTTGTCAAGATAACTTTTGAAGCGCAGTGTTATCGGTAGTACTGTTTCACTGATAATGATGTTGATTCACCAGAATTAGACTACCAACCCTACATAAACGCGTCATTAGACCTTCTGGACAGCCAAGGTTTATCTGAAGCCATCATCCACCATGGTTCGTGTACCTGCATGTCTTGTCCTGGCGCTAATGTATGTAAGTATTATTTGGTGGTCTATCATTACACGATTCCCGTGTGTGTCCTACACGTGGTGAGATAATGTTGAAACAAGTTTGTTTGTTTATTTATTTATTGTTCAACGCCGCACTCAGCAAACTTCCAGCTGTATGACGGCGGTCTGTAAATAATCGAGTCTGGAAAAGACAATCCAGTGATTGACATTATGAGCATCGATCTACGCAGTTGAGATACGATGACATGCATCAACAAAGTCAGCGAGCCTGACCACCCGATCCCGTTAGTCGCCTCTTACGACAAGCATAGTCGTCTTTTAGGGCAAGCATGGGTTACTGAAGACCTATTCTTCACGGGTAGTTGAAACAAGTAAATGTTTTACATGTGTTTGAAATTCTGTTTTTCCTGTCCACAGTTCCCATTGCTCCATGTTTGGCGTCAGAGCTGATAAGGATCAGATGGTTACAATGGCGACCTGGGCCCCGTTTCACGAAGCGATCGTAGCGCTACGACTGTTATGTTAAAGTATAGACAGTCGTAGCGCTACGATCGCTTTGTGAAACGGGGCCCTGGTTACTTATCGTGCACAGGAGGCGTTGCTCATGCTGTCAACCACAACTATTTTTAGACTAGACTCAAATATTTACAGGCTGTCGTGTTATAGCTGGAACATTGTTCACTGCAGCTGAAAATATCAGTCCTCGTGAGTGAGTGAGTATGGTTTTACGCCGCTTTTAGCAATATTCCAGCAATATCACGGCGGGGGACACCAGAAATGGGCTTCACACATTGTACCCATGTCGGGATTCGAACCCGGGTCTTCGGCGTGACGAGCGAACGCTTCAACCACTAGGCTACCCGACCGCCCTTCAGTCCTCGTGGTCTCTGCTAGGAACTAAACTGCCTGGCAAAAGAAAGTATACACTTGAAAACTGGATTTGACCAAAAACCTACAAACATTATCAAAACATTACTAGGCTGAAAACAGAACCTGAAACCCTGGAAACTTAAGGTCCAAAGCACCACTGTGATACCCGTATCAAATACATCACCAACCCATAACGATCCGTGAAGATCCGGGGTAGAATAGGTCTTCAGCAACCCATGCTTGTCTCTCCGTGAAGATCCGGGGTAGAATAGGTCTTCAGCAACCCATGCTTGTCTCTCCGTGAAGATCCGGGGTAGAATAGGTCTTCAGCAACCCATGCTTGTCTCTCCGTGAAGATCCGGGGTAGAATAGGTCTTCAGCAACCCATGCTTGTCTCTCCGTGAAGATCCGGGGTAGAATAGGTCTTCAGCAACCCATGCTTGTCTCTCCGTGAAGATCCGGGGTAGAATAGGTCTTCAGCAACCCATGCTTGTCTCTCCGTGAAGATCCGGGGTAGAATAGGTCTTCAGCAACCCATGCTTGTCTCTCCGTGAAGATCCGGGGTAGAATAGGTCTTCAGCAACCCATGCTTGTCTCTCCGTGAAGATCCGGGGTAGAATAGGTCTTCAGCAACCCATGCTTGTCTCTCCGTGAAGATCCGGGGTAGAATAGGTCTTCAGCAACCCATGCTTGTCTCTCCGTGAAGATCCGGGGTAGAATAGGTCTTCAGCAACCCATGCTTGTCTCTCCGTGAAGATCCGGGGTAGAATAGGTCTTCAGCAACCCATGCTTGTCTCTCCGTGAAGATCCGGGGTAGAATAGGTCTTCAGCAACCCATGCTTGTCTCTCCGTGAAGATCCGGGGTAGAATAGGTCTTCAGCAACCCATGCTTGTCTCTCCGTGAAGATCCGGGGTAGAATAGGTCTTCAGCAACCCATGCTTGTCTCTCCGTGAAGATCCGGGGTAGAATAGGTCTTCAGCAACCCATGCTTGTCTCTCCGTGAAGATCCGGGGTAGAATAGGTCTTCAGCAACCCATGCTTGTCTCTCCGTGAAGATCCGGGGTAGAATAGGTCTTCAGCAACCCATGCTTGTCTCTCCGTGAAGATCCGGGGTAGAATAGGTCTTCAGCAACCCATGCTTGTCTCTCCGTGAAGATCCGGGGTAGAATAGGTCTTCAGCAACCCATGCTTGTCTCTCCGTGAAGATCCGGGGTAGAATAGGTCTTCAGCAACCCATGCTTGTCTCTCCGTGAAGATCCGGGGTAGAATAGGTCTTCAGCAACCCATGCTTGTCTCTCCGTGAAGATCCGGGGTAGAATAGGTCTTCAGCAACCCATGCTTGTCTCTCCGTGAAGATCCGGGGTAGAATAGGTCTTCAGCAACCCATGCTTGTCTCTCCGTGAAGATCCGGGGTAGAATAGGTCTTCAGCAACCCATGCTTGTCTCTCCGTGAAGATCCGGGGTAGAATAGGTCTTCAGCAACCCATGCTTGTCTCTCCGTGAAGATCCGGGGTAGAATAGGTCTTCAGCAACCCATGCTTGTCTCTCCGTGAAGATCCGGGGTAGAATAGGTCTTCAGCAACCCATGCTTGTCTCTCCGTGAAGATCCGGGGTAGAATAGGTCTTCAGCAACCCATGCTTGTCTCTCCGTGAAGATCCGGGGTAGAATAGGTCTTCAGCAACCAATGCTTGCCGTGAGAGGCGACTGACGGGATCGGATGGTCAGGCTCGCTGACTTGGTTGATGCATACCATCGATACCAAATGCGTGGATCGATGCTCATGATATCAATCACTGGATTGTCCGGTCCAGACTTGATTATTTACAGACCGCCGTCATACAGTTGGAATATTGCTGAGTGCGGCGTTAAACAACAAACAAACAAATAAACAAGCAAAACAAACCAACCCATAACCATTAACTTTTGTTTCATATTTAGCCACCATCAAACATGGGTGTATATTTTTATTTGCCCGGCAGTTTATAGCAGCCTGTTCTACACTTGGTATTATGAAAAAACAATTAATGAGAAATCTGAATACATAACACATATTTTTCCTTTACTCTAATATCAATAAATTGAGAAGTGGGGACTCTGTTCCACGGGATGATGCCCATGCCAATGCTATCTTTAGAGTGAGTGAGTTGGTTTCACGCCGCTTTGAACAGTATTCCAGTTATTTCACATCGTGTCAGCTTAATGTGGGAGGAAAGCCCGAAGTGATGCAGGTCTCTGGCGTTTACCACTTTGTTGAAACCCACGAGCACGGTGCTGACAAACCTAGAAACATAATCGGGGAGCACCCACGAATATAAGTTACTGGCACAGCGAATTACGGCGCCTCAGACGACTGGGCCACCCGTGTCCCTGGCAGGTTTAGACATTGTAACTAAAATACTCACGGAAATGAAAAAATTATGTTTTTTCGATCTCAGATTTTAAATAAATGCAGTTAATATACAAAATATATAAATATTCAAACAACTCAATTAGTACTAAATGGGCCTTGGCACAAATACAGCGTATCAAAGGTTTTTATGTCTTTTTACACGTAAAAGTGTGTATTGTGAACCTGAGCATAACCAGGTGTTAGTCGATCAAGGTGAATGTCCATGACCTATGACACCTTGACGACAGGGGAAAACAGGTGCTTGAAACCCACGTGCATGTGATTTGTCAGTGGTTTGTGATTTGTGAGTGGCATTGTGGGATAGTGAATCATCGTCAAAATATCAGAACGTAAAAGTAACATATTCCCTTCTCAAACAACAACTTACATGTCATTATTATTATGGACATAAACATAGCTGTTATTTTTATTGTTGTTTTGATAACTTTTTTCCAGGCTAATTTGCATAATGCCTATAGCCTGTTTCTGCCATGTCAATTTGGACTTACTTTTATTTTTGAATGTTGAAAGTGCCTACAAATTACCTCCTGTAAAGTACATTTTGTATTGAGCACTGAGATAAAACTAGCAAATCCAGACTAGTACTTTTCCAGTTGTTTTGTTATTTCGTATTTAAATTGACGTAATGCTTTGTGCCGATTATTAAATCCAGAAAAATAGTTTTTTTCCATTTCCATGAGTAGTTTAGTGTCAACTGTTAAATGGCTCTTTGTAAATGGGGTACTAATTTACCCTAGGCTGATAATAACGTTAAACTTGGTTCGGAATATGGAATCTTAGAAGGGACATTGTCGTGTTGTCGCGTTGTCGCGCTTTGGTTAATGTTGACACTTTTTGCTTGTTTTCGGAAGGGCGACAATGCGGCAACGCGACAATGTCCCTTCTAGGATTCAATACCTTTACTACTCATTACACAGACAGAATGTTCCACTATCACACCAGGCATTGTGACAGTACCAAGGCCGACGCTGGAAAGTCGATTCTGAAGTGAGAATATTGAAAGATGGCTTTATAACATGGCTCCCAACGATGCTAAGATCAGCGTTGAGGCGCAGCAATGATGGATAACGGAGAAAACTATATATTATATATCGTAATGACGTTGTTTGGGGACGAAAATTAGACGAACATTTGTGTGTATGTCGCACCAGTGAACATCCGGGTTAGAACAGGTCTTCAGCAACCATTACTTGCCGAAAGAGGCGACAATGTTTTTCGTAAGAGGCGACGTGGTCAGGCTCGCAGACATGTTTGATGCATGTCGTATCCCAGTTGCGTAGATCGATGCTCATGATGTCAATCACTGGACTGTCCGGTCCAGACACGATTATTTACAGACCGCCGTCATATCGCTGGAATATTGATGAGTGCGGCGTTAATCAACAAACAAACAAAAACGTATACATACCCAGTTTCTCTGTCCGACAGGTGGCGGCCGAGTCGGATTCCAGCACCCAAACCAGAATCATTGACTACAGGAATGGACTTTACTATGAAGACCTTGGACATGTGCGTATAATGTTACGATCTGATTTGCACAGGGTTTATTTTACGTATATATATTCCCTTGGACGTTCACAACCTGAAGGGTTTTACAAGTAACAAAGACAGCGTGAAGACCAGCCCCAGCATCACTTTGGCAATGATTTAAACGTCCTTACCAATTGTCCCCGCCACTATTGCTGATAATATATATATTGAACAAAATTAAAAACTTCACAATCCTAAAATTTTAACATTTTGACCAGTTATCATTGTGGGCCCTTATTGTGTACTTAAACAGTAATGGCCACGTATTGTCTTCAGAAAACACCCGTTTTTGTGCAGGTGAATCGATCAAAATCATGTGCACAGCAGTATAGTGGCAAAAGTGGTTTTTCACGTGCAACTGGTCACGTGGCCATAATACCGCACATGTTTTCAGCCATACTTGTTAGCAGTCATTAACAAAAAAAAGAAAAACACAAGAAAACAAAAGTCTTTACGGCCATTTGTCATGCCACGCCTTTCAAAAGTGCAACGTGAACGTGCCATCGGCATGTTGCAGACGGGAACGTCCGTAGCTGAAGTCGCAAGGACGATGGGTTGTAGTCGACGGACTGTTTATGATTTACAGACGCGTCTACAGCAAACGGGTACCACCGCTGATCAATTACACAGACGTCAACGTCAATTGTGGGCACAGCGACACTTACGATGGACTCAGAGGAATTGGAATCAAGTCGTCTTCAGTGATGAGTCCCGATTTAATCTACGATTTGCTGATGGTAGGGCGAGGGTGTGGAGGCGCCGTCATGAACGTTACGCCAAGTGTTATGTAAAGGAAGTTGACAGATTTCGAGGCGGAAGTGTCATGGTGTGGGGTGCTTTCTGTGGCAATGCACGTTCCAGGCTTCTTGTCATCCGTGGCAACCTCAACGCTGCTGCTTACCGCGACCAGGTACTGGCACCAGAACTTCTGCCTTTTATAACAGCACATGGACCCGGTTTGATCTTCCAACACGTCAATGCCAGACCCCACACAGCAATTTTGACAAGGAATTTCCTTCAGAATGCGGGAGTCAACGTCATGGACTGGCCGTCAAGGTCTCCCGACCTCAATCCCATCGAACACGTCTGAAATGCTCTTGGCAGAAGTCTGCGCACTCTCCAGAACCAACCACAGAATTTGCAATATCTTGGCACCATTTTGCAGCAACAATGGCGCCGTCTTCCCAATCATGTGTTCACAAGCATCACAAGGTCCATGCGGAGGCATTGTGTGGCAGTTGTCAACGCAAATGGTGGCCATACACGCTACTGAACTTGTGTGTCATCAGATTCTCGTGCTTGGGACTTATGATTTAAACTGTTGATGTTATTACCGAATACCGTAGGTGCTTGGAACAAATTATGGTTACCACCGTTAATTAAAATCCTTCTTTGGACATTAATGATTAAAAATTACCTTCTTTGATACATTTGTCCGTTGTATATCATATATGGGATTACTTTTAAAAATGTGAAGTTTTTAATTTGACTCAGTATATAAAATCATCATTCGTGCTGTATTCAGTGGGTCGAATTAAAATTACAATTTGACAATTGCATCGGTCGACTCATGCTACAGACGACCTCGACTCGTGCTACAGACGACTTCGACTCATCCCACATTAGACTTCGACTCATGCTACAGGCGACTTCAACTCAGGCTACAGGCGACTTCGACTCATGCTACAGGCGACTTCGACTCATACTACAGGCAACTTCGACTCATGCTACAGGCGACTTCGACTCATGCTACAGACGACTTCGACTCGTGCTACAGACGACCTCGACTCGTGCTACAGACGACTTCGACTCATGCTACAGACGACTTCGACCCATGTTACAGACGAATTCGACTCATGCTACAGACGACCTCGACTCGTGCTACAGACGACTTCGACTCATCCTACTTACGACTTCGACTCATGCTACAGACGAACTCGACTCGTGCTACAGACGACTTCGACTCATCCAACATACGACTTCGACTCATGCTACAGGCGACTTCGACTCATGCTACAGACGGCTTCGACTCATGCTACAGACGACTTCGACTCGTGCTACAGACGACTTCGACTCATGCTACATACGACTTCGACTCATGCTACAGACGACTTCGACTCATGCTACAGACGACTTCGACTCATGCCACAGACGACTTCGACTCATGCTAAAGGTGACTTCGACTTGTGCTACAGGCGACTTCGACTCATGCCACAGACGACTTCGACTTGTGCCACAGACGACTTCGACTCATCCTACATACGACTTCGACTCATGCTACAGGCGACTTCGACTCATGCTACAGACGACTTCGACTCGTGCTACAGGCGACTTCGACTCATGCTACAGGAAACTTCGACTCATGCTACAGACGACTTCGACTCATGCTACAGGCGACTTCGACTCGTGCTACAGGCGACTTCGACTCATGCTACAGGAAACTTCGACTCGTGCTACAGACGACTTCGACTCATGCTACAGGCGACTTCGACTCATGCTACAGACGACCTCGACCCATGCTACAGGCGACTTCGACTCATGCTAGAGGCGACTTCGACTCATGTTGCGGACGACTTCGACTCATGCTACAGGCGACTTCGACTCATACTACAGACGACTTCGACTCATGCTACAGGCGACTTCGACTCATGCTAAAGGCGACTTCGACTCATGTTGCGGACGACTTCGACTCATCCTACATACGACTTCGACTCATCCTACATACGACTTCGACTCATGCTACAGACTACTTCGACTTGTGCCACAGACGACTTCGACTCATGATACAGACGACAGCCTCAATATTAGATCCTGATCACTTGAATGATACTATATGTTGTAGAATTTCCTTGTACTGGTGATGCCGGATGGGTGCTACTTCTGGCATCTAACCCCAAACGAGATCTCGGTGGGGTTGTCGCCAGGCGGCTTCAGACACACAGAGGTAAGTGATCTGTCGTTCATGGTGTGGCGTGTATCGCAGGTGACATCTGTGTCACACCTCAACTGTATAGCACGTGCATCTGTATCACGCGTGCATCTGTATCACACGTGCATCTGTATCACATCTCGAGTGTACATTGGTCCTGTGTCGCACCTGTATCGCACCCGTATGACAACTCTGTACATTGGACCTCTGTCGCGCCCAACTGCCCTCTTGTAAAACCAAACACTTGTCAATCGACCCGCCGGGCGTCCTGTACCAATCTCATTAAAATCAGATCTAAGTTCTCGCTATCGCTAAACAAAGATCTGAGGACATCCCATTACGGGTCACGTCAGAATGACCTTTCATGGTATCGCACGTGCATCTGTATCACACGTGCATCTGTATCACATCTCGAGTGTACATTGGACCTGTGTCGCACCTGTATCGCACCCGTATGACAACTGTGTACATTGGACCTCTGTCGCGCCCAACTGCCCTCTTGTAAAACCAAACACTTGTCAATCGACCCGCCGGGCGTCCTGTACCAATCTCTAAAAAACAGATCTAAGTTCTCGCTATCGCTAAACAAAGATCTGAGGACATCCCATTACGGGTCACGTCAGAACGACCTTTCATCCAACCAATCAGATCGTCACTTACCAGATCATGAAAGTGACAGTCGGAATGTGTTTTCTGATCATGCAGCCTCGAAAACGTTAACACGGGGTATTCAGAACGACATTCAGCCCGTACGACTGATTCCGTCAAAAGCATCGCCTACTAGCTTCCATGGGAGAAACATTTGAACGAAAGAGGCGTTGCACAGTACGTGGGAAGCACTGCCATACAATCTAAACCATATATTAGACATTCCGGAATGTTCGTTTGTTCAGTTTTCAAAGTTTTAATCAAAAACTGTGTCAACATATTTTTCAAGCGTAGTCTGAAATGGAAGCTTTCTAATTGGCTGATGTCGACTTCTTGTTAGTCATTTCAGTGGTCGGTCAAAGTTCGCGAAACCACTGGCCTTTGTAAGGCAGATCTGAAAATACATCTATGTACTTAAGCGAGGGATTGCCTAAAAGTCGGGCCGGGCCGGGCCAAGACGGGCCAAAGTGTTATTGGCTAATTACTTCATTATCGGCGATCATATCTACATATTATTGATGCAACATACACACATGACACTACTGAACAATCACCAATCCAAAACGTGCAGCATAATTAAGTAATTCGGAGTAAATCACTTAAAAACTAGAAAGTGGAGCTGTGTGTTAGCGTCGCTGATCTAGGTAACATGTAAAAGAGCAATCGTTAAACGAAATACGATTTGACACGTATCAAATACTTCTAGCTATCGTCATACGAATTTCCATCTGTCGGCATAGCGTTTATATTATAGGAACGTACTATATCTAAGTAAATACCACTTTATAACGTCACTGTTCATCGTATTTAAAGCAGACACGTTGGTTAAAGTAGACCTCTTCTCCCTCTACTCTCGACAGTCACACAGTTCGCTCCGACTTGGCCCGGGCTGTCAAAATCAACTTTAAACAGACAGATTTATCTTCAAATGTGATTACCTCTATAGATTAGTGTTATATCTACCTATACACCACTTTATAATGTTACAGATCGCAGTATTTATAGACAACAAGGGGCTCAAAGTGAAGCCCTTTTCCCTCTACATTCTCAACATAGTCTCTATCAGAAGTGTTTGGCTTGTGTTGGGTCCGACTTGGCCCGGGCGGTCAAAATCAACTTTAAACACACAGATGTATCTACAAATGTGATTAAATCTATAGATTAGTATTATATCTACCTATACACCAATTTATAATGTCCAGGTGTATCGCATTTAAAGAAATCTGCGCCCTTAAAGTGAAGCATTTTTACTGTATTTTCTTTAAAAAATCAAAGTCAGAAATGTTCGGTCCGACCTGGCCCGGGCTGTTAAAATCAACTTAAACCTCACAGATGTATCATCAAATGGATTCACATCTATAGATTAGTATTATATCTACCTATACACCACTTTATAATGTCACAGATTGCAGTATTTATAGACAACAAGGGGCTCGAAAGTGAAGCCCTTTTCCCTCTACATTCTCAACATAGTCTCTATCAGAAGTGTTTGGCTTGTGTTGGGTCCGACTTGGCCCGGGCGGTCAAAATCAACTTTAAACACACAGATGTAACTTCAAATGTGATTAAATCTATAGATTAGTGTTATATCTACCTATACACCAATTTATAATGTCCAGGTGTATCGCATTTAAAGAAATCTGCGCCCTTAAAGTGAAGCATTTTTACTGTATTTTCTTTAAAAAAAACCAAGTCAGAAATGTTCGGTCCGACTTGGCCCGGGCTGTTAAAATCAACTTAAACCTCACAGATGTATCTTCAAATGTGATTAAATCTATAGATTAGTATTATATCTACTTATACACCACTTTATAATGTCACAGATTGCAGTATTTATAGACAACAAGGGGCTCGAAAGTGAAGCCCTTTTCCCTCTACATTCTCAACATAGTCTCTATCAGAAGTGTTTGGCTTGTGTTGGGTCCGACTTGGCCCGGGCGGTCAAAATCAACTTTAAACACACAGATGTATCTTCAAATGTGACTAAATCTATAGATTAGTGTTATATCTACCTATACACCAATTTATAATGTCACAGATCGCAGTATTTATAGAAGACATGGGGCTTAAAGTGAAGCCCTTTTCCCCTCTACATTCTCAACATAGTCTCTATCAGAAGTGTTTGGCTTGTGTTGGGTCCGACTTGGCCCGGGCGGTCAAAATCAACTTTAAACACACAGATGTAACTTCAAATGTGATTAAATCTATAGATTAGTGTTATATCTACCTATACACCAATTTATAATGTCCAGGTGTATCGCATTTAAAGAAATCTGCGCCCTTAAAGTGAAGCATTTTTACTGTATTTTCTTTAAAAAAAACAAGTCAGAAATGTTCGGTCCGACTTGGCCCGGGCTGTTAAAATCAACTTAAACCTCACAGATGTATCTTCAAATGTAATTAAATCTATAGATTAGTATTATATCTACTTATACACCACTTTATAATGTCACAGATTGCAGTATTTATAGACAACAAGGGGCTCGAAAGTGAAGCCCTTTTCCCTCTACATTCTCAACATAGTCTCTATCAGAAGTGTTTGGCTTGTGTTGGGTCCGACTTGGCCCGGGCGGTCAAAATCAACTTTAAACACACAGATGTAACTTCAAATGTGATTAAATCTATAGATTAGTGTTATATCTACCTATACACCAATTTATAATGTCCAGGTGTGTCGCATTTAAAGAAATCTGCGCCCTTAAAGTGAAGCATTTTTACTTTATTTTCTTTAAAAAATCCAAGTCAGAAATGTTCGGTCCGACCTGGCCCGGGCTGTTAAAATCAACTTAAACCTCACAGATGTATCATCAAATGGATTCACATCTATAGATTAGTATTATATCTACCTATACACCACTTTATAATGTCACAGATTGCAGTCTTTATAGACAACAAGGGGCTCGAAAGTGAAGCCCTTTTCCCTCTACATTCTCAACATAGTCTCTATCAGAAGTGTTTGGCTTGTGTTGGGTCCGACTTGGCCCGGGCGGTCAAAATCAACTTTAAACACACAGATGTATCTCCAAATGTGATTAAATCTATAGATTAGTGTTATATCTACCTATACACCAATTTATAATGTCCAGGTGTATCGCATTTAAAGAAATCTGCGCCCTTAAAGTGAAGCATTTTTACTTATTTTCTTTAAAAAAAACAAGTCAGAAATGTTCGGTCCGACCTGGCCCGGGCTGTTAAAATCAACTTAAACCTCACAGATGTATCTTCAAATGTGATTAAATCTATAGATTAGTATTATATCTACTTATACACCACTTTATAATGTCACAGATTGCAGTATTTATAGACAACAAGGGGCTCGAAAGTGAAGCCCTTTTCCCTCTACATTCTCAACATAGTCTCTATCAGAAGTGTTTGGCTTGTGTTGGGTCCGACTTGGCCCGGGCGGTCAAAATCAACTTTAAACACACAGATGTATCTTCAAATGTGACTAAATCTATAGATTAGTGTTATATCTACCTATACACCAATTTATAATGTCCAGGTGTATCGCATTTAAAGAAATCTGCGCCCTTATAGTGAAGCATTTTTACTGTATTTTCTTTAAAAAATCCAAGTCAGAAATGTTCGGTCCGACCTGGCCCGGGCTGTTAAAATCAACTTAAACCTCACAGATGTATCATCAAATGGATTCACATCTATAGATTAGTATTATATCTACCTATACACCACTTTATAATGTCACAGATTGCAGTATTTATAGACAACAAGGGGCTCGAAAGTGAAGCCCTTTTCCCTCTACATTCTCAACATAGTCTCTATCAGAAGTGTTTGGCTTGTGTTGGGTCCGACTTGGCCCGGGCGGTCAAAATCAACTTTAAATAGACAGATGTATCTTCAAATGTGACTAAATCTATAGATTAGTGTTATATCTACCTATACACCAATTTATAATGTCCAGGTGTGTCGCATTTAAAGAAATCTGCGCCCTTAAAGTGAAGCATTTTTACTTATTTTCTTTAACAAATCCAAGTCAGAAATGTTCGGTCCGACCTGGCCCGGGCTGTTAAAATCAACTTAAACCTCACAGATGTATCACCAAATGGATTCACATCTATAGATTAGTATTATATCAACCTATACATCACTTTATAATGTCACAGATTGCAGTATTTATAGACAACAAGGGGCTCGAAAGTGAAGCCCTTTTCCCTCTACATTCTCAACATAGTCTCTATCAGAAGTGTTTGGCTTGTGTTGGGTCCGACTTGGCCCGGGCGGTCAAAATCAACTTTAAACACACAGATGTAACTTCAAATGTGATTAAATCTATAGATTAGTGTTATATCTACCTATACACCAATTTATAATGTCCAGGTGTATCGCATTTAAAGAAATCTGCGCCCTTA